CTGTGAGACTGGAGGCTGTGCCACCAGTATATCAAATACTAGCGGGGTCACCGAGGGTGGGCAGGTTTTAGCGGAGCTTCCAGAATAAGACAGACTGGTAAGAAGGACACTTCTGACAAAAATGACCACTGAAGACCTTATGAATAGCAGTGAAATATTGTCTGATATAATGCCAGAAGATGAGCCTCTCGGGTTGGACAAACCAAAAACCAAACTCACTGCCATTAAGTCAATTTCAACTCATAGCAACCCCCTTTGGGTTTCCGAGGTGGTAAATCTTTATGGGAGAAGATTCCTCCATCTTCCTTCTGTGGAGTACCTGGTGGGTTTGAACCACCAACCTTCTGGTTAGCAGTCAAATGCCTTAGGCACTGTGCCACCAGAGCTCAGGTTGGAAGGCACTCAAAATATGACTGGGAAAGAGCCTCATCAAAGTAGAGTTGACCTTAATGATGTGGATGGAGTAAACTTCCAGGACCTTCATTTGCTGATGTGGCACAACTCAAAATGAGAAGAAACAGCTGCAAACATTCATTAATAATCAGAATGTAGAATGTATAAAATATGAATCTAGGAAAATTGGAAGTTGTAAAAATGAAAAGATTGATATCCTAGGCGTTAGTGAGCTGAAATGGACTGGTATTGGCCATTTTGAATTGGACAACTGTGGTAGTTAATGTTATGTGTCAACTTGGCAGGGCCTGGTTTGAGTGCCTGGGCAGCTGGATATTCCCCATGATGAGACTGGTAATTAACTCCATGGTAGAATCTACTGTGAGCAGCTGAGTAGCTGCCTTGGGGATGTAGTCTCCTTCCAGTATATAAGAAGATGTTTTGAGAAAGGTCTTGAGCTTTTTGGTACATCTGGAGCCTGCATCTGGCCAAGTCTTCATCTCAGTGGCCTGCCTTGTTGTCTGCTGATCCTGAGACTGTTTCTGGACTTGAACTAGTGACCTTCCATGTTGCTTGATAATTTTGAGACTGTGCCATTTTACTTATCACCCTTGGGATTCTCAGCCTCAGCAGCCAGCAGCTGTCTGAGTTAAGAGAAGCCTCCGGCTTCAGTGGGCCTGGAACAAGAGGCAGAGCTGAGGCCCAAGGTCGAGGGGCTTTCACCCAGCCCCTAGAACAGGCACTTTGAACTTGGACTTCTAGTCTCCTAAACCATAGGAGAATAAATCCCTGTTTGTTCAAGCCATACATTTGTGGTGTTTTCTGTTAGAGCAGCACTAGAGAGCCAAAACAACAATCATATGGGCTGTATCTGTACGAGTCATGATTTTGTCTTTTTATTTGTAAATTATATTTTAATGAATAAATAACTTTCT